TGTATATTTGATCGAAACATGGTGGGCATGATGAAAATGTGCCATGCATTAATATGTGTTTTGCTTTAAAAAGTATATGCAGTTGATCATCGGTAGCAAATATAACGCTTCTTTTATTTCGTCGTATTTTATCGTAAAGTAGAAAGCGTTCCCCATTGATTGTTTGAGCATAAAGAGTAGAAATATCAAAATGGCATGATTTTGGTAGAACGGAAGCTTCACGGTGACGGATTCGGTTTAAGGGCTCCCTCCCTCAGAAAAGTCAATTTTTCGGGTGTAGGTGTGTGGAGTGTGGGTATGGGCGTGTGAGTGTGACTGCCATTGTAAATAATAAGAATACCCATACCCACCCACACCCACACATCCACACCATACACCCACACCCCCACACCCTAAATTTCCAAATTTTATTGATTGTCATCTTTCTTTTCTTGCAATGTTTCTGTTTAGTCTTCGTTGAGAAATATAATAGTCGTAATAATCACACGTTGCGTTTAAATAATAATACAAAAATACATGAAAAGTATAGTAAATAAAAGTTATTGCAATGAATAAGAAGCAAAAATTTTACACTGTTTTCTTATGTGTTATTGGCTACTTGAATAATTTCAAGGATGGATGTATTAAAGAAGAGAACAGAAGGAGAAAAAAAGAACAGAAACGTGTTTTATAATGTCGTGTAGTGACATATGTGATTGGTATACCTCCAGGTATGCACTATTATTTCATCGATGAATAAGAAACTTTGTAGGTGGCATGCGATAAGTAACAATCACCTTGACAAACAGTAAACGATAAGAACGAAAAAAAAGACTCATCGATGTTTACTTTTCAAGTTTTGACGCAACAATGGCAAATAGTAAGAATTTATTTGATTTTTAATATGCTACGCGATATAATTTTAGAAACAAAAACTTCCGATGTTAATTCGAATCAGTCAGAAGTCGAACAACAAACTGAACTTATGTACAAAGATAATACGATATGGACTGCTGTGTTCAATGCAGACAAGGCTTCAATTGATCGTTTGATCGATGCTGATCCAGAGGTTATTAATATGAGAGGTGCCGTTGGCGAGTGTCCCATTCATATGTTATTTCTATGTGGAACATATAGGCATTTGGAGATTGCTCGAGATCTTATTATACGATTCCCAATGATCGTGACGCAAATCTACAATAAACCAGTAAATATATATATATAGAGCGTAGCAAAAGCATTACGCCGCCCCCTCCCCTCCACAACTTAAAGTATAAATGATGCCACAAAGTATTTTATACCAACTTAATTCTCATCAAAACCTGAATTAATGAGTGTAATTAGAGCAAGTATTGCCTATGCAATTATTGAAATGTCTTGAATTACATGCGAAATTGCACTCGTACTTTACGATTTTCATTCTTCATATACATGTTTTCACAAAAATAATAGCAGATTCGTAATCTTCATCAAAAACGGAATCTATAGACATGTCATTTGTATATTTTTGAGGAAAATAACTTTTTTGAAAAACCCAGGAAGGGTACCCGAGACAAAAAATTTCAAAAAATTTTTTGAACTGAAATATCTCGATTTATATATATCAGTCGACGCAGTTTTTGACGAAGAACACGAATTTGATTTTATTTTTGTTGAAAAATGTAATAATACAACAAAAATTGCAGTATAAGAGCTCGTTTCGGCATAAAAATGAAATAGATTTTATAATATCGAGCCTATAAAAGAACAATTATGGAGTACCGCCCTGGATTTTTTAAAAGAATTTTTTTGTCAAAAATATACAAATGACATGTCTATAGATTCAGTTTTTGATAGAGATTACGAATCTGCTATTATTTTTTGTGAAAACATGTACATGAAGAATGAAAATCGTAAAGTACGAGTGCAATTTCGCATGTAATTTAAGACATTTCAATCATTTCATACGCAATAATTGCTCTAATTACACTCATTAATTCAGTTTTTGATGAGCATTAATTTGGTATAAAACACTTTGTGGTATCATTTACGCCCTCGACTGTAGGAAGGGTCATACGAAAAAAAGTAAAAAGGGTGGGTGTGGGTGTGGGTGCGGGTGTGCGTATGAATATATTAATAAAGGGAACATCCACACCCATACCCGCACTCTCCAAATTTTCAGTTGAATTTTTTCAGTCAAGAAAAGAGTTTTTCGAGAAAATAACGATATTTTATGAAAGTTGACGAAAGTGAAGCGGGCTCGGGTAATCCGAATCTAAAACCAGTTTTTCGAAATTTTAAGGTTGATTTTTTTTCACATGAGTTTTGTCTGAAAAAATTTGGTTTTTTTAAAAAAAAATATTTTTTTGGTAGAAAAATATTTTTGTCGAAATAGTACGATTTTTTTTATGAAAAGAAATCTTTCGTTAAAAATTTGAACTCAAAATTTTGAGAAACTGATTACAGATGTGGATTCTTGGACCCCGATTTACTCTCATCAACATATATAAGATATCGCTATTTTCTCGAAAAACCTCCTTCGCGAAAATCGGCCTGGGCTTGTAACCGTACCTACGGTTATTGTCATTGTTGCATTGCTACTAATGATATTTACCGTTAAATATATACGAATTACGCACAGAGAAAAAGTACAGCACATCCATCGATTGATGTTTATTCACAATGTTTGTTGCGTCTAATAGTTTATTTATGTTTCCTCTATTTACAAAAATCAGTGACTGGAGACGGATAGTCAGTACATTAGTTAAGGCCCCCTCCCCTCAAAAAAAGTCAATTTTCGTCAAAAATGCCGAAATTGAGATAAATACATGAGGAGATAGCGGTCATCTGCTCTTTCATAAACGATAATTTGTTTTTCTCGTTACTTCATTTTTCCCAAAAAATTTTCAAGATTTCCGTCAACCCCTATTCGAAAAACCAGCTGTTTTTTGAAAAATCAAAAAATGTTTTTCATTTTTTCTCAGTTTCCGCTTTCTCAAAAGCGCATCGCAAATTTCTCCTTCCTGGTTCGTTCAATATATTAATATATTTTTTTGTGTGAAANGAAGAGCAATATTACCCGACTTTGATGGCACATATATTGACCATTGGTGATTTTTAAAATCTTACGAATAATTTTTCGTATTTTTCTTTTGCATTCACAGTGCAGTTTTTTATGTTGATTCTGTATATCGTACCCGTTTTAATTCACAACTATATCATGATAATCTAAACTACTAAAAACATTCTTTTTTACTTGTGAGAAAGCATTAAAAAGTAATATATAGCAGAAAGTGAGAGACATAAACCCTGTTTCTCTCTGAAGATAACATTTATTTTTGAAGATTCTTGTACCATTTTAGGTGTGGGTGTGGTTGAAAAGAATTCCCACACCCACCCTATAACAGATACAAAGACACTTGACATTATGCATATAGATTAAATGATAAGATCATTCAAAAACCAATCGATAAAAAGACTAATGAGGAAAGATTCTCAGATGTTACACTCCGTTTCGTATCAGGTATTTGCTATTTTGTAGAGCTCAGTGGTTACAATATCGGATATAAAGGATTCGTCCGTATACAGACTTTTAAGGAACTACGAGGTACCATATCTTCTGAAAAATTATCATAAGACTCTTAGCAGAAAATTTGAATTTTAAAACTATTATGATTTCAAGTCGTTTAGATTTTTCGATTGAATACATCATAGTCCACTTTACATATTCATATATCATACTTAAATACAACATTTAAGTATATCTTTATTTTGAATGTTTGGATATCATCAACTCTACGAGTACAATTCAATTCTATCTAAACAGCGTTCTCGAATAGCCTTTAAAATAATTTTTGACGAAATATTTGATTATTAGATACTTGCAGAATTGCTGATATTCAAAATATGTCAAATAAAGATATACTTAAATGTTAATTTTGAGTACGACATATGAATATATATAGTGGACTATGATTTATTCAATCGAAAAACCCAAACGACTTGAAATCATAATACTTTTGAAATCCAAGTCTTCTGCTAAGAGTCTTATAATGATGTTTCAGAAGGTATGGTACCTAGTAGTTCCTTAATAGTCCAGTATGGAGACGAATCCTTTATATCAGATATTGTACTCACTGAGCTCTACAAAATGGGAAATATCCGACCCAAACCGGAGCGTAACACCTGGAGACCTTCCATCGTAAGATATACTCAAGCAATCTCTTATCAATATTCCATATTACAATTCTTCCAGACAATATTTAAAAATCCTAAGGATGATTCGAAAGTACAGGGAAACAATAATCTGTTCTGACTTATAGAGCATAGATCTGAATTCACATAGATTCTTGTTAGTATCATCGAGAACTTTATTTATCTATGAGAGTAAGTCGAACGAATATCATAATTTATAGACATTCCTTATAATTTCAAAGAAACTCGAACAATGATAATAGATGTGTTTTTTACAAGTGCTCTTTAGTGAATTTATCAGCGTATGAGGGAAAAAATTCCATTAATACAGGTACAAACGTATTTTTTTCGTACCTAAGTACAAGTACCAGTACATTTTTTAAAGTACAAGTAAAATACTTTTACTTGCTGTACTTGTACTCGTCCTGTCTCTGCTTGACATACCCATCGACTTGTAGCTTGGGTGCGCTAATAGCTTTTTCTTCTCAACTTTGCAATTTTCTATTTATTTTTCAATTTTAAAACAATGTATTTCATGCTAATTAACTCGAGTTAGAGATATTATTCGAAATAAAATTCATTTTTTCTTGCAAGACAACTTTGATCTTTACTATTTTTTCATAAGTCGCATGTTATTAGGTGTGATCATTTTGATATATACATTAATTTTGATTCTTTGCAATAGCATATATTCTATTTTAATACATAGATTCTATGGAAATATATTTTATTAAAATAGTAATTCAAAATATTTGTAATATTTTTGTAGGAAAAAAATAATTTTTGAAACGTTCAGTAATTTCAAATTCACCCAAAAGATATAAACGACTGACTTTATTACAATTAATTCATGTTTCATTTCTTGTAAAATTGCGTATGACTTCTTTTAAAGATTTATACTTCATACAGAGAACAACACCATTTGTCAAACACATTTTAGTATCAATTAGAAATTCTTCGATATAATCATAATGAACTTCATATAATATAAGATCAGTAAGATGAGGATATTCAACAACTGATAAATGTCCGATATCTTCCTTTGATTTGTTATATTGTTTATTATTTTGTGGTTTCTTATTCTTTAAAGTTAATTTTTCCATCAATGAAAATGATTTCTCAATTCGAAGAAAAAATTCATGCTCAAAAGAATATTCATCATATAATTCAACTTCACGAACACATTTAAATAATCCACCTGGAAAATTATTTGTTATATTATAATAGCATCTCAATGTAAGTGGATATGAATAAACATTACATTGCCCTTCTTGTGCCTCTGCAAAATAATCAACATAAGAAATAATTTGATTATTTTTAAAATCTTTAAATGTATATTGAATATGTTCATTTGATGATAAAATTAATTTGATCCTTAAAAGAAATAAATGAATGAATATTAAATATAAATTTGTTTAGTCGTGGCATATTATTGATAATGTTCTTCGTCAAATGATTTTCATCAATAAATGTCAAAATACAAAATGAGTATTTCTAAATTTGACATTCGATGTAAAAGTGGTATAATTATTTCATCGTCGAAATGTATTCTTCCGGTACAAGATAATGAAAAACATCTTAAATTTGGTAGTTTTTCCAAAGAAAACAAAAACTTCAATTTCTTTCAAATTAACAATTTGTAGAAACATAGTTTATTATTATTTATTTTTACGAACAAAGGGAAATACGATAATGCTATATCAACATAGAATGTATGAAGTTGATTAAAACGATTATCAAGTAGATGAGACAATCGTCAATAGATATTACCTTGACATACAATCTTAGCAAAGTCGAAGAGAAAACAGTTGGATCAAATATAAAATATTGTAATTTAGGAAAATTCTTAAAGATATTTGGAAATATAAATGTATTCGTATCGTCGCTGTAATAATCTTCTTTCTTAATATTTCTAATGACAAGTGATGAAATTTGATTTTTGAATATGTGAATAAAAGGAATGTTGTTTCAACATAAAGAAAAAAGTGGTGAGAAAACTAAGAATTCTCATAGTATCTATTCCTTTAATCACTTTTCCTATTAATATCTTATACTTTTTTCAAAGTCTTCATTCATATATTCACTACTTTTATTTTGTAGATAAATACAAAAATATTTTACAATAAATAAAATATGTAAACTTTATATAGCATTTATTTAAATAAGTCATTTTGATTTTTATCTATTTTAATGTATTAGTAGTTATTCAAAGTATTTCAAATAAAAATATCTTACTAATAAAGAGATGTGAAGCAGTATCCATTTCAATATTATATATACTAAGTTCGTAGAGATAAAGGATAATTTGCAGAAAGAACAATACGTTTCATAGATAATGATTCAAGAATAAGCCATTTGATTTTATGATGGATTTTTGGTAAGATTTCCCAACAAGATCGATCTAATATTGGATTAGATAATGGATAGATTGAATCATTTACAATTTTATTTTATCGCTTATTTACACCCAATAAAAACATGAATATTCCATGTTTATTTTCATCTATGGTTAAATTTTCTTAGCTGATAAATGTCAATTATTATACATTTATAATCGCTCGTTTTGTTTGACCGATATGGTCTAATGGTGTAAATGGTATGTATCAAAACGACCGAAAGAAAAAATAGCGAAAAAAATATTCCCCTAAAAAAAATGTCGAAAATGTCCCGGATGGCACTAAGTGACTCTATCAAGCGGTAAGATGTGGAGTTCGAGATTAGAGATGAAGCGAGGACTGATATCCATACCCACATAAAGCAAAATATAGCCTTGTTGTTGATTTTGTGGCTGAATAGTTTTGATCCACTATTATTTTTGTTGGACTACTTAAACGTGGATTATTTTTCTGTACACAATAAAATATCTTCATTTCACTGGTCGAAAATGTTGAAATACACTTTTTTCGATGAATTCATAGGATTACAACGGTTCTTTTGCTCTAGACTCTTTCGCCATTTTTATCTTCGACATTTGTTTGATTCACTTTTTCTTTTGCACTTTTTTTTTCGCTATTCTTTTGTTCGTTAATACCATTCATGTAAATAGATAATGAATGGATGATATTATTTCATTTCTTTAACGCTACTCTCCACCATACTTGATGAACTTTTCTTAAATCAATAGTCAAGACGTAGTCAAGAAGAATATGGGGCGTGTCCGGGCATTACCATTGAGTTTTGCTCTTATTTTACCTTTTAATGGATAATAGTTCTTAACGTACCAAAAAAAAAACGAATGCTGTTTGCAAACGATGCGGATAACGATGGATAGCTCATCACTTTCTAGAACTAGACTCCCATTCTTTAGTGAAAGTAAGGTTAAATGACTTCAGTAAAACTTATACTTATTTGTATAGAATACAAGGATGATCTTAGAAGAAATATTCACAGTCTATATAAAAGTTCATTATTAACAACAACAATATCAACTTGTTTATATCAACCATGAGACTGTACAATGCGCACATCATTTTATTGGAATGGAATGTAATGAACTCACTATTTTTAATTTGGAGTTAAATCCATCATATTTACATAAATGTTGAAGTCTAGATTTTAAAATTTTTTTTTATTCTATGAAACAGAATGTCAACGACACTTAATTATTCAAGTTTACAAGGTCCAAGTTTATCTGTTTGTGATAATCGTTTAATGTCAAAATTATTAAATAAAAAACATCGTTTATTTCTTCATAGTCCAAATTATCCACGTCTAATATGAAAATTCATTAAATTGTTCATATCAAATTGATACAATAAAATCTCATATAAAATTTCTTGATTTTTATCTTGAAGAGCATGATGAACTAAATAACTGATAGGTTCATGTGATTATTTACAAATAGATAATCGATCTTATTGTGGTTCAATTATTCTTAATTCATCATTTCAATTACAATATTTAAAACAAATGATGTTATTAAAAGAAAAGGTTTTTGGTTAATGATTAATAGTGACCAATCATTACAAGTATCAAATAATAATCGAATCGAATCGACTTCTATAACAACAACAACATCAACTTCTCTTATTCCGCTGACTGAATCATCTCATTTAAATCATAATAATATTAAACATAATCATACACTTTCATATATTCTTATATTAACTGTTGTCTTTATTGTTATTCTTATATTAATTATACTTTGTTAGAGACAGAGACGATCAGAAGGAAATATTGATTCAAAAGTAAATAGTAGAAATAGACCATTTTTTGTTCAGTACGTTCCTCAACATTCGCATCATCATCCATAGCATATGGTAAAATACCAGTGTTAATATGAGTTGATGTGCAAAAATAACAAACATTATCAACAAGATATTTCTCAACCAAATCAACAACAACTGCAACAGATCCTTATGAAGACCTTAATAAATCAATGATATTACAAAGATAATATCATAAACAAAAGTCGTCTAATAATCATGGACTTTATATAGAATCTCGGTCGAGATTTTCTTTACCAACTACTTATAATTGAATGATTCATTTTTCACCTGCATATATAAATTGTTATTTTAGTATATCGGTAGAACATTTTTTATCCTTCTCTACTATTACTTGATCCTCAACATATTTATGAAACCATTCAAGAAAGACATTGTCCCTATCAACATTTAGCAGCTACACTTTACCGTCAACGAGAACCACAATTTACGTGTTACTATCAACATAGTGAACAAAAATTGGGTGCGGATGTGGGTATCGGTGTAGGCGTTGGGGTGGTGGTGGGGGTGTGAATTGATCTCTTCTTAACTCATGCCCACACCTACCCACACCCCACATCCACAGCCACACTACATCCATACATCCCACCCACACCGGTCTCGATCTTTGTATCGTGTCGATAACGAAAGATAGAAAATCACGATACGAAGAATGTCGATGCTTTGAAGACTTGATCGAGTTTTAGACATCGAAGGAGTACATGTACAAAATAAAAGTTTGTGAGAATGGTTAGAATTTTATCTTGAAAAGTCACAAGCATGTAATTTATCGATTTTGATACGAAAAAAAGCATTAGGCAGCATGTTGAAAACTTTATTGAAATACTCAGATGCGTGCTACCTTTAAGAACATTCAATTTCAAACAATCATTCTGCTAAAAGCAATAAGTCATTCATGATAAAGAAAGTGTTTTGAATGCCAGCAAATGGCTCAAGTCCCATTCTAGTCTCCGATTTTCTATGAATCACATTCACAGTTAGTTATGAACTGTTATACAAAAAATTGACGTTTCCGTTTTCCCTACTGGAGAGTCTTTATGTACTCTCAGGAGTCTGGTACTGCTTGTGGTGCTGGGAGGGCGTCCCCTGGTGTCCAGGAGCCACTATGTCTCATTCTTGGGCTAGTCACTCGAGTATAGGACGTTAAACAATATCTGACTACAGAAAATGAACAAACCAAACTTGTTACTACAACCAGAGTAACACTATTTGGATCATGGAATGTCAGGTAGTGTTATCAGGTCACTAAGCGCGAACTCATTGTTCGTCAGTTAAAATGGTATCAAATTCAGGTGGCGGCACTGGCCGAAACAAAAATACCGGATTCGGGTGTGTGTGTGTAAATGGATATACGTTCATATATTCAGGTTCACCTTCTCAATTATTATCAAAATCTGCACACGGCGCAGCCGTATGTTTGGGTCCTAAAACCATTTGTGCTTGCAAGAACTAAGGTTCTCAATGGGAAGCAGTGAGTTCAAGAATTGTAACTGTCCGTATTGAGTGCCGATCTGTACCAATCACCATCATAGCTGTTTAAGCACCTATAAATCCATCGAATGGAGTAAAAAATGATATTGAAACATGTGACGAGTTCTATAAAACTCTACAAGCAACAATAGATAAAACTCATAGGAGTGATATGATTATGATAATGGGCGATTTTAATGCTCGTGTTGGAGTAGAACAGACCAATACAGCCGGAGGAACTGTTGGTAAACATGCTATTGACAAGCAAAATCAAAACGGTCGTCGACTAGTTGATTTCTGTCTATTTAACAGCTTTATAGTTACTAACACATTCTTTTTACATAAAGCAGTCCATCAAGGCACATGTTAGCTTATATACTAGTAAATTGTAAATTTTGATCTACTGTGCAAGATGTACGGATTCATAGAAGTGTTACTGGTGGTAGTGGAGCTGATCATTATTTATAACGAGCTAAAATTCGTCTACATTTGAAATATTGTAGAAAAGCAGAAAAAGAATGTCGGTTAAGACTTGATCAGTCAAAACTGACAGATAATAATTTACTTTCTGCTTTCCAAATTGAATTAGCGAATGAAAACAAAACCATTCGGCGCGAACATAAAACCTTATCGGTGAAAGAAAAGTTCACAAAATTTGTTAATAGTGTTCGAGAACGTGGTAGACACTACTTTGAAAACAATAAAATCATTCAGAAAGGCGGAAAAAAATGGTTTACACTAGAACTAAAGGAAATTGTCAATGAAAAAGCTAAAGCATATGTAGACTGGCAACTACATCACAGTACGACCAACGAGAATAAATATAGAAACAGATACCGAACGTTGGCAAAAATAGTACAAAACAATGTATATGCTAGGCAACATTAATATTGGGAGGAGTTAAACATAGACATAGAAAACGCAGTCAAAGTACACGATTCAACGACTGCTTTCCAAATCATTCGAAGGCTACGTGGAAATGGACGAAGTATACATCATATACTAGTCCAGGATAAGAACGGCGTAACTTTAACTAACAGTAAAGATCAATTGAATCGATGGAAAGAGTATTTTGATAAAACACTCAACGTTGATACAACAGTAAGCGAAAAAGTTTTACAACAAATTCCAAGTTCTACAGTTGATGATGCAGAGCTTTCTCGACAGGATGCTGTACCAGCTCTTGATGAGGTTATAAAGGCGGTTGGACAAATTCAAAATAAAAAAGCTCCGGAAAAAGACGATGTACCAGCGGAACTCCTAAAAGCGGACGGTCAGTATGTCGCTGAATGGTTACATGAAATTATTCACGATGTATGGGAACAGGAGGTTATGGTTAAGGAATGGACTGAAGCCATTATAATACGACTATACAAGAATAAGGGTGATAAACGAATTTGTGACAACTATCGAAACATATCCTCACTAGATGTTGCAGGGAAAATCTTTGCCCGAATTATACTAAATCGTATTCAGGCTTCACTTAATAAAAAGTTGATGGAGGAACAAGCAAGCTTTTGTCCTAGAATATCCACCATAGATCAGATTTTTATATTAAACATGATCATGAAGAGAGCAAGAGAGTTTAATCAACCTCTGCATATGTGCTTTATTGATCTAAAGAAAGCATATGACTCTGTTAATCGAAAAGCACTTTGGCGAATATGTCGAGCATATGGATTATCAGAAAAGATAGTTCTAATGCTAAAATTGTTATATGACGATACATCTGCTCAGATTAGAATTGATGAAAATGTTAGCGAAAGATTCATTATGAAAACTGGCGTGAGACAAGGATGTATTCTCTCTCCAATCTTGTTCAATGTATATGTTGACTATATTATGAAACAAGTAGTTGAACAACCTAGCGTGCAGAGTGTCACGTTATCATACCGTCTTGATGATTCCTGGCTGTCTGGCAGAGGAAATGGTAGTCATAATGTACATTTATTGACGTTAATGTATGCAGATGATATTGTTGTCATGTGTGAAAGTCCAAAAAATTTAGAATATTTTATAAAAGTGTTCGAAAGAATAACTAATGATTTTAGCCTAAATATGAACATTCACAAAACATGTACTATGTCATTAAAAAATTCGAGGAAACAATAGAAAAGAATGATGCACCATCAAATATCGTTATTCGGGACCAGAATATAGAAATAGTGGACTGTTTTAATTATCTTGGTTGCTGTCTAACAAACGATCAAACACAATCTAAGGAAATAGAAGTTCGCTTAGGAAAAGCTTCTAATGCTTTTAACTCAATTCGGCGGGTTGTATGGTACCCGACAATGCATATCGATTCAGGCAAAAGTCAGAATATTTAAAGCATGTATTCTGCCAGTTCTGTTGTATGAGAGTGAAGTATGGTGTCTAAAAGCTGTTGAAGAACAACGACTGAATACACTTTACATGAAATGTCTTCGAACGTTGTTGGATGTGTGCCTTGGTGACCGAATGAGGCATGATTTGATTCTTCAGCTGACCGGTCAACCACCTTTCGAAAAAATTCTGAGAAGAAATAGGCTAAGATGGTTTGGTCATATCAATCGAATGGACAATCAGGAATATCATCCAATGATGCCGAAAAAGGTCCTTTTCTCTTCGTATCTGCATGCGAAGAGACCTTTACATGGTGTAAAATTAAGATGGTGAGACAAAATAACTAAAGATCTCGCAATATGTGATATAAAAAATTGGAGACGAGAAGTCCAAGATAAAGAGAAGTAGCGTAAAACAATCAATAAAGAAGTTAAGTGTACAGCAGTTCGATCGAATGCAACACATGTCATACATGAGCATAAAGAAAGAGCAAAAAAACGTCGGGCTGATGAAAGACTTCTTGATTGTAATAAAAAAATGAATGGATAAATACATTTTTGATCCCGGAAAATTAGCACAATTGATCCCGGATACTTTTTTTCGGAAAAAAAAGCACAATTGATCCCGGTTTTTTCTAATAATTTTTAATTAGTTATATAATAACACAAGTGATCCCGGAAAAAGCTATTTTTGTTTCTCGTACAACATAATTGATCCCGGAAAATAATGGTGCCTAGAGACAATGTACAACTTTTGTTTATTAAGTGATTAATCAAATCAATCTATAAAAGAAAACAGTCAAAATTAAGGATGGACAAGATTTGTTTCATATAATCCAATAATAACATGTCAACTTGAGCGGTTTATCCATTTCGGTATCTCATTATCTCAGAGTATAAGGACAACAGTCATTGTCTTCAACTGAAAATTATAAAAACATTTGTAAAAGTAATAATTCTCACAACAGATAATTATTATTTCAACAATATACTGTTATTAACATGTCTACTCGAATATGGCAAGATTTTTTTGTATGCGAACATGAGAATGAGTTATTAGCAATCACCAAAGAAAATAATACATGTAAAAAACGTACAGAGCAATTTAATTATGGATTATGTCATACATATATTTGTGCAGAATATCGGAAATATCCATTATGTAAATTTCAATTGAAAGCAAAACAGTCGTCTGATGGTACTTATCAATTATATTTATCAGGGTCTCATGATCATCAACAACGGAATACAACAACTCGACTACCATCACCAATTCGAGAAGTTATTATTAGACTGTCAGACAACGGCTTAGTAACATCTCAAATTAATAAAGTAATGAAAGCGTTACATCCAGATTTGTCTATTGATACAAAAGTTATGAATGTTGCTCGTGTTCAACGTCAAAAAGATAGTTCAAGTGTTAAATTCATTGAAGATTTACAACAATGGTGTTTATTACGTCAAAATGTACCACCACCAGATAAACAACACGACATATTTATACCTTATTATGTCGCTAATGATGTGAATGATTTATTTATATGTTTAACAACACGTCAGTTATTATCTGCATGCAAATATTCATCAGTATTAGCTATTGACTGCACTTACAAAATAACAACAAATGAATTACCATTATTAGTATTTGGAACATCTGATTATAATCGTCGATTTTATCCAATGGGTATTTGTTTAATATCAACAGACGAATCAGCGGATACATTTCGTACATTATTTCGTGGTATTCAACAATGGGCATCAGCAGTTAATAATCAAGCCTACACAATCTCACATGTTTTAGCTGATGGAGCACCTGGTAAGTCACTAAGCTGTGTTCAAAAAATCATTTTGCAATACGGTTATCTTTGATTTTAATTTGTGTAGGTTTAACAACTGCCATGTCTGAAATTCCGTTAGCAAGACGTTTAATGTGCTGGTTTCATATGATTCAGAAATGTCGCCAACATGCAAAACTAATTAAAGATAAAAAAAAATGGTTATTAGTCGAACAAGATATTTATAGTATGCAATTAATATTTGACGATCAAATATTTGCAATAGCATCACGTCTTATGTTATTAAAATGGTCAGCAGATGCTGAATTAAATGATTTTCGACAATATTTTGAACAAGAATGGATATTATCGTTACCGTATTGGTATGAAGGAGCTGCTTGTTTAGCACCATCAACAAATAATGGGCTAGAATCACTTAATGGTAGAATTAAAAAAGATTACACATTAAGAAATCGTCTTCCATTATCTGCATTTTTAAAAATAGCCGAACGAATGCTAATCGATTGGTCAAAAGATAGTGAAGAAAAACCATTTCAGTTACATATTACGTATAAAGATGATTTAAAATTAAGTGCATACACATGGTTACAACAACTGGATAAAACACAAATATTACAGATGAATGCAAATGTTTATGTAATACCATCCAAAAATGGAAACATGAGTACAACAACATGGGTTCAACAATTTCATGCAATGACCTGGAACAATTATGATGAATTAGTCAATTGGCTCAATTCAGCGCGTTTAATAAGTTGTTTACGTTTACTACCACCATTATTTTGTACATGTCGAACTGGTTTAAAAGAATATACGTGCGTACATATTTTAGGTTTATTAATGTTGTGGGGTAGTCAACCTATGCCACAATTAATTGGTAAAAGAAAAGGAAAAGGTAGACCAAAAAAAGTTAAATTAGCATTATCCAAAGATTAATATACGTATACGATTATATTTTCTACTAGATTATTTTCTTTTTTTCTGGCAAGCTGTTCTACTGTAATTTTTTTTGTCTTTTCTATAATATAAATGTTTTGTGTGGTTAAATCTTATGGTTAAAGTGAGACCACATAGCTATTCAATGTGCGTCAGATTGAAAGACGGTGCCATGACTTGCTAATTTTCCGGGATCAATTATGTTGTACGAGAAACAAAAATAGCTTTTTCCGGGATCACTTGTGTTATTATATAACTAATTAAAAATTATTAGAAAAAACCGGGATCAATTGTGCATTTTTTTCCGAAAAAAAGTATCCGGGATCAATTGTGCTAATTTTCCGGGATCAAAAATGTAAGTGTCCAAAATGAATAGTCCTCCAATTACATCAACAGTAATAAATGATGATGTCACTTGGTCACTATGTGGGCAAGGGTTTAAAAATAAACGAGGCATGAATATACATAAACGAATATGCATCCAAAACCGAGCAGCGCAGGCCTCAGCTGATACTATAATAAATGAGATGCATCAACGAACGACAGCATCAACAACAAATAAGAACACTAGCACACAAAAGATAACAATAAAAATAATAAATTTACTAATAAAAACAGATAAAAACAAATATATATGTCCAAATAACATGTACCGAAAAATATTAAAAGCACAAGGTGCTACAATGCATGTCAAATCATGAGCTAAAGCATAGTTAAATGAACAAGGAGTTCAGATTTAAAGACCCGTAATCTGAGTTAGATCGTTGTATTTTATAATGACTGTCACCGAAACCGGATCCGATTGTGGTCCGGAGGTGACCGACTGATGGTCGACGCAACAATCTCTTCTTCTAGAGACACGCCTTTCTAGTCTAAGATTCCAAGTTACTCTGTTTTATTACTTATTTATATGTATTATTTTGTTTTATGTTTTGTCTTGTATATGTGTAAACGTTCTTGTCGCCGTCTGAGTCTTTCTTTTTCGTGTTTTATGTTTGTGTTTTGTCCTTTTGTCTCTGTAAATTTTCAGTTTTTTATATTTTTAACTCCCGGTTGTTCTTCGCCTAAACTGGTCTACCAGTATTGGCTATCTATCTATCTATCGACATTTCCGTTACATTGAATTTTTTCGATTATAATTGCTTTGATTTATTAATGAACATCCAAAGTTGACAGACTGTTTTAGTCACTTCATTCTCTATCTACATTTTGAAAACTTGACACGTATGAATCACGTCGAAAGCTTGACACTTGAGGATGATCTGATCACTCGAATTCGAGTAGCGAATGAATATGTGGTTACCAATTATCCGTTCGATGTTTTAATTGTTGAGTACTCGATAAATATGTAAGGAAACGTTCAATCAGTATTGGATTTTAAAGAGAAATTTTGTGAGCATCACATGATTGAATAAAGAGTGTTGTACCATGAATATTAGGTTTTTAATAGATTGCTGGTACAGAACTTTCTGCAGAAAAGAATATTAATTTTCGATAAAAGATGGTAGCAAAGTATATATTAGAGCATAAACAAGATCCATGGGAACAGGTGTAGACGAGAAGAAGAACAACAGTGGATACACTCTGACATAGATCTTCTTTGACGAACTAGATCACATCAACAATGACCTATTTTTCTAATCTATGTCGAACCACAACGTAAGATGATACTAATGCTTTCAAAAACAACTGAAAACAAACTGATTCAATAAAGTATCATGAAGAAACATGCTATGCTCTTTTCTCTTTCATTTTTCATCTTTATCTGCTATCAGAAAGAACTCGGCTACAAATGCAATTAGAAACAAATCAACAAATTAAAGAGAAAGATGAGCTACATGAGGCCATGTACTTCTTCATCAAAACAATTATTCAACTGGTTCCAGATGCTACAGCTCATTCTGAACAGTAACAGAATCAAACAACAGTGAAAACAAAAGTAAAACAGTTTGTTTTCCATCTACGTATCAAAAATTCATTAGCTTTTAATGTACATTAATGATTTATTAAACTAAGAGAATATTATTGGAATAACTTTCCAAGAATAAAATGATCTTGTCTATAATACTATCTTAGGGCAATTCTTTTTTCGAAAAAAAAAATCAAAATTCGCGTGGTAATAAATCAGCAACATCAATTATTAACGATGAAACGTGTGCTTCGTGATTATATGATATTCATTTCGCAGAGCTAAATCAATTTTTTATAATTATTTTTTTCCCATTAGGCGCTTCAACTTCTATAAAATTTCTCTAAGACCATTATGCAATCTTGCTTTCGTAATTATTTTTGTCATAATAAAATTTTTCTAAAAGCTGTGTGTGCCGATACTGATATCACCTCCTGCTGTGATCTTCCTTTCCTGTTTCGTCTTTATATATCTGCCTCTATTGTTCCTTCCTCTGTTCATCTATTTCTCTCTTCTCTCTCGTATATAAGCGCATCTTGTATGTGAAGTAGATGCATCCTGAAAATGTGAGGTAGCTCAATAAACATCATTACCGAGGGCGGTACTAAGCTGTTCCATTCAGTTTGTTTTTACATGTTAACCCAGCTAGATACTAAACAATCTTCCCTTTGTCGTTGCATTGTGTATCATCTTTTTATGTGAAATATGAATGTGCTCATTAGAATATGGTGAAATGCTAACGGGTACTGTCAACACCTATTCGACCTAGTTCTTTTTTTTTAGATTTATTATTAGTAATACATGAATGAGATTGATGGATTGAAGAAATTCGAGAAACAGTGGCAGAAAACATTATCCTCATTTAAATAGAAATAGAACGAGAAAAGCGATGGTCGATTCGTTAGCGCAACTTGGCATTGAACTGACACGAGCTATTTTGCCCATTATCGTTTTTGTGGGTGTAATGGGTAACTCAATCAATATAATTGTGCTCAGTCGACCCGTCTTGTATCAGCACGCGTGTTCACGGTATTTTCTTGCTCTTGCTGGCAACAATCTCTTCTACTCAAGTATTATTTTGATCTATCATTTGTTGACTGACGGATATCATTTGGCGCTGGTTGATAAATCTCTCATCATGTGCAAAGTGATCACCTATGTCAACACTTTATCAGCGTTTCTATCGCCTTACTTCATTATCCTTGCTTCCGTCGACCGATACTGTGCGACTTCGGCTCGTGTCCAACTACGTAATTTAAGCAATGTTAAAGTGGCTAAATGGGCAATTCTAATTATGGTAGTTGTAATTAGTCTCTTTCTCAGCAATGTTCTAGTTGTGATCGATATGCGACAAAGTGACGGGTTCGGATGTCGCATTCGAGACGATACCCTCTACAATCGAGTGTTCTTGATAGTGCAAGTTACACTCTTTGCCATTGTTCCACCTTTTGTGATGGCTCTGTTCGGCTTCATGACCATTTATCATACAAAACGACATGGTACTATTCGCGCAGCAGTCTCACGTTATCGTCGCACCGAAACTCAACTAGCCAATATGCTTCTTCTGCAGTTAGGCGTTCACATTGTTCTGAATATTCCCACTAGCGTAACCTATCTTATGTTGGTCCTGTCGTCAGTATTTAAACCCACTAGAGTTTTCTACTTTCTCTACACTATTTTTCAATTTCTTTTTCATCTTTCGTATTCCACAGCTTTTATCTTATATTTCCTTTCGTCTCGTATCTATCGAAACGAACTCACTCATTTTGTCAACAGTATAGTGAGACTTCGTCGATTTGGTATTCAAGTGTATCCAAACACAAACACACCTACTGTCATGCCGTTCAGTACAAACACGAAAAGATTGGCCACAGAACATCATTGAATCAAACAATCTATATTAGCACCCAGCTAGATTTCAAGCATCTCATTATAGTTCATTAAACGATGAAAAACACTAAATCGCTTTTTTTAATTTCTTATCAAAAATAAGAAATTTTCTCATTAGTTGTTCTACCTTTTTCAACTGTAAAAATTTATGCGCTATCATGAACACGTGAAGCCTAATAAAAACCGTACATATACATATATACATATTGCGTTAGCCTCCACTTCGTCATTAGATCTGTATTTGTTTCAATTAACATAAGAACACGAATAGATATGCTGGAAAAAAAAATAAGAGTCAACTTATTCATTCATTCGGAAATTCAAAAAAGAAAGAGAAGCAAAGAATATTTCACTTCTAGTAATGTATGCAAAGAAAACCAAGAGATTCAAATAGACGAATCTCAGATTGACTTCTGTTCAAGGTTCTTAATTATATAGCTAGCTGTACCTTTGATTTCTTAATTTGATTTCATGTCTATTCGAAACCGAAAAGCAACTTAAATTCTATAATAAACGTTCTTTCCTTGCATTGTATTTTGTGCACTTGGGTAAACTAAAATTCAGAATTACTGATTGTACCCCATGTTAACTGAATATGCTAAGAATGGTTTTATTGGAATAGGGTATTAGTTTGTTATATCGTCATCGATCACTGTCAGATCTTGAGCAGTTATAATCAGTAGGAAACGACGAAAAAATAGATAAACAATATCGAATGCGTGTGAATGAGAGATTGAATTGAACAGTCTTTAATTACTATCGGAGACGAATATATTAGAATCATCAACCAAAAGAAGAAAAATTCGAGTACTTTCAAGTAATTTTTTGTTTTCAAATCTTGAGAATCAGTTTTCTTTAGAAAATGAGTGACTCTGAATGGATCTCATCAAGAACATGAACCAACCATTGGGTAGAACTATGGGTGCAACAAATCTTGAATAGATTTGGGATTTGGCACTAAATCTTTAAGGTTTAGACTTGGATTTGGATTTGGTTTCTGGATTTGGGTATAGTTCCGACTTAATTCTTCGATGTGAATTTCGTCTAGATTTGAATCTCAGGATTACTGTTGTCGCTTGGTTGGGCTTAAGTTTGGGATTCGTGATTGGACATATCATTTGGATTTGAATTTGGGATTTGGTTTCAATATAATGACTCCAACTTGGTAGTCATGTTACATTGACACCAAATCTCAGTCCTCAAATCCAAATTCAAATCCAAATCCCACCCAAATCCTAACGCGAATATTACCCACCAAATCCAAAATCCAAGCCTACGATCCAAGTCCAAATTCCAAACCCAAATCTACATCCAAACCAAACCATTTCATATCAATTTATAAGAATTGAGATTCTTTTCTTCTTTCTGAGACTTTATCTTACAAAGCCCCCATCATACTTGGGTATTTTAAGACCAAACTCAAATCCAAATCTTTTGGTACCAAATTCCAAAGCCTTGGATTTGTTGCATCCCTAGGTAGAACATTGAATATGACCACTTAATACAAAAAAATCGACTAAAATATCTATTTCTGGACTAAATATTCTATCGCAAAAGAAAACAACGTAAGATCAATGTAGAGCATGTTACGGAGCAACCAAGTTTTACCCCATGATGTTTCTATCCTAGTGTATCTTTCCTTCCCAGCGCGTTCACATTTTCCTTCTTTTTCTCTCATATGGAATTTTGCCTTCTTTCTTCTCATATTGATTTGTCTCTTCCTGCCCTCTGCATTATCATGTATGAGATTTTCCCTTTCATATTCTTCTTGTCACTTGGATCTTTCCAATCTTGTTTATTATCATGGACATTTCCATTGCGTCCACTTATATATACAGATCGTAATTTCGCAATAAAGATTCTACATTCCGATTTGACCTTCGTCTTCTTCAATCTACACAGTTAGTCTCTTAAGGGGTTCACATCCTGTACAGAGTAGCTTAATTCTAAATAAATGCTATAGTTTTCAATGAAGCACATCGCAAAACAGAANATTTTCTCATTAGTTGTTCTACCTTTTTCAACTGTAAAAATTTATGCGCTATCATGACCACGTGAAGCCTAATAAAAACCGTACATATACATATATACATATTGCGTTAGCCTCCACTTCGTCATCAGATCTGTATTTGTTTCAATTAACATAAGAACACGAATAGATATGCTGGAAAAATAATTAAGAGTCAACTTATTCATTCATTCGGAAATTCAAAAAAGAAAGAGAAGCAAAGAATATTTCTCTTCTAGTAATGTATGCAAAGAAAACCAAGAGATTCAAATAGACGAATCTCAGATTGACTTCTGTTCAAGGTTCTTACTTAGATAGCTTGTTGTACCTTTGATTTCTTAATTTGATTTCATGTCTATTCGAAACCGAAAAGTAACTTAAATTCTATAATAAACGTTCTTTCCTTGCATTGTATTTTGTGCACTTGGGTAAAGTAAAATTCAGAATTACTGATTGTACCCCATGTTAACTGAATATGCTAAGAATGGTTTTATTGGGATATGGTATTAGTTTGCTATATCGTCATCGATCACTGTCAGATTTTGAGCAGTTATAATCAGTAGGAAACGGCGAAAAAATAGATAAACGATATCGAATGCGTGTGAATGAGAGACTGAATTGAACAGTCTTTAATTACTATCGGGGACGAGTTTATTAGAATCATCAAGCAACAGAAGAAAAATTGGAGTACTTTCAAGTAATTTTTTGCTTTCAAATCTTGAGAATCCGTTTTCTTTAGAAAATGAGTGACTCTGAATGGATCGCATCAAGAACATGAAGCAACCATTGGGTAGAACTATGGGTGCAAAAAATCTTGAATAGATTTGGGATTTGGCACTAAATCTTTAAGGTTTGGACTTGGATTTGGATTTGGTTTCTGGATTTGGGTATAGTTCGGACTTAGTTCTTCGATGTGAATTTCGTTTAGATTTGAATCTCAGGATTACTGCTGTCGCTTGGTTGGGCTTAAGTTTGGGATTCGTGATTGGAGATATCATTTGGATTTGAATTTGGGATTTGGTTTCAATCTAGCATGACTCCAACTTGGTAGTCATGTTACATTGACACCAAATCTCAGTCCTCAAATCCAAATCCAAATCCCACCCAAATCCTAACTCGAATATTACACACCAAATCCAAAATCCAAGCCTACGACCCAAGTCCAAATTCCAAACCCAAATCTATACCAAATCCAAACCATTTCATATCAATTTATAAGAATTGAGATTCTTTTCTTCTTTCTTGGACTTTATCTTACAAAGCCTCATCATACTTGGGTATTTTAAGACCAAACCCAAATCCGAATCTTTTGGTACCAAATCCCAAGGCCTTGGATTTGTTGCATCCCTAGGTAGAACATCGAATATGACCACTTAATACAAAAAATCGACTAAAATATCTATTTCTGGACTAAATATTCTATCGCAAAAGAAAACAACGTAAGATCAATGTAGAGCATGTTACGGAGCAACCAAGTTTTACCCCATGATGTTTCTATCCTAGTGTATCTTTCCTTCCCA